TTTCTACTAACACCCCCATATATTGTGCGTCAGATTAATGGGTGATAGGTAACATTTTGGTAACAATGATTTTTTCTTTAAAATTCGCCAATATTTCAACATTGTGCTTATGAAATCACTCTTCGAGCTCTAACAAAAAGATTCCTTGCACAATTTACATGTAATGTTTTTAACCCTAACCTGCTGACATTGGAGTTTAAAGGGTGATAAATAAAGAACTCTAACGTTAATGATAACGTATCTATAGCTAACTGTTAAGAAGGGAGTCGATCTATAAAAGCAATTTAATATATATAAGATATATAATTTTTCCAAAATGTAATCCGCTGAAGAAATTTACATTTGTAAAATTTCACTTTAAACTTCACAGTATTCTTCCTGAGTATAGTCGATTCCTAAACGATACGATTTATTTTTAAATACAAGTTTCTTCCGACCAAATCATATAAATTCATAAATATATAGCTTTTTGACTCTTTCGCTAATAGTCCAGCCGAGATGCATTTGATAAAGTTAATCATACGAATATTCTCTTCATATAATCAAATTTGATTTTTATACATTAAATTCAAAATGAATGAAGTATTTTATTATTTGCTAACAGATAAAATAAATATCAATATAAATTGTTATAAATTTAACATCATGTTCGCTTATCACATTTATATATAAAATTTAAAAAAGAAAACCATATATATTAAGCTAGGTAGTTTTTAAACAAAAACACACACGGTTCTTGAAATTAAATCACGTTATTTCTTTAAAGTTCCAATTATGGACTGTTGATGTAAAGCGAAAAAAGAAAAGTAAATAAATTATAAAAGCTGTAAATTAAGATTAAATTTTTTTACACTTACCTCTGGTGAATATTTTTGCACTACATTTTTATCATGCAACATATTGAACTATAAAATAATTAATTCAAAATTTCTTTAATAAGCGTTTAAAACGAACAAATAAAGTGAAAACTCACCTCTTCAGTAGCGTCTTTTCCAGCATAAATTAGAATGGCTTTCTTACCGCCAGGATGATCTAAATTAAAATATAAAACGTGTAAAATGGATAGTTACTTAAGGGCAAACGAGACGTCAATTTTAACGAGATTTACCTGGAAGAAAATTTGTAACATTTAAAACTTCACCATTAACTATTACCCAACAGTCTGACTATTAACCAACAGAAAATGTTGTCAGAAAAGCGAAT